CCCCCGCGCGCGCCCCCCCCCCCCCCGCAGCGCCCCGCCCCGCCCAGATAAACACGGGCACGTGACCACGCCGAGCCCGGCGCACGCCGATGACGTAAGGGGCGGGACCGCCTGTCCCGCAACCCCCCAGGCTCCGCGCGCCTGCGCGTCACCCCCCCCCTGCGGTGTGAAGCCCGCAGTACCCAGACGGCCCTTTGGGGGCGCTGCTACCCCCGTGCGATGTTGGTGCTGTCCCGTGGCAGGTGGGCTGCCCAGGCTGCCTTGAGTGCTGCGGTCTGGTATTTGAATTAAATGCTTGATGCTGGGGAGTCCTGTGCCCCTCTTTGTTGTGTTGGGTGTGTTACTGCATGCCTCCTCCCCAGAAGAGGCTTCAATATGCAATGGACTGTTCTCCTGCGCTTTAGTGCGTCGCAGCAAAACCTGTGCTAATGCGCTACTGTGCGGTAGCAATAGCCTGCTGCGCATTAAGCATCACAAAAAGGTCCCCTTCACTACTGCGCATTAGTGCAAATAGTGCCTCTATCTCAGGGGTGGGCAAAATGCGGCAGCCTGCCAGGCCATTCTATCTGGCCCACGTAGCCCCTAAAATTTTAGACAATTAGTATTTATCTGCCCCTAGCTGCTTGTCGAGCGGCCCTCCGCCCAAAAGCCCACCCCTGCTGTATCTAGTATGGCAGAGGTACTAAATGCTCAGCAGCAAAGGTGCATTAATGCATGTGCAGACGCACTCCCAGATGCTCTAGTCCCAGAAGCAGTTCAGTCTGAATTGCAAGGGTTAACGATTAGCGAAGGGCGTTGAGATGCGTAGGCCAGTGATCACACCCAATGCTCATAAGGTGACCCTAGGAAAGAACAATGGTCACAGATCATGACTGAGTTTCCTTGGTCCCTCCTGAACTGGCCAAGAGATCCTTATCTCAGAGGAGCAGATGGAAATAGAAATCTGAACCTAAACTGTATCATCTGACTCCAGCAGTCTGTCCTGCCCATGCGCAGGGGGGCTGGACCTGATGATCGGTAAGGTCCCTTTCAGCCCCTAACAACTATGAAAACTCCCCGACACAAAGGCAGAGGGATGGGAGTCTGGAACTTGCCTCGAACCCTGAAGACTGATTCTGAGGGCCCTAAGACCTGACTATGTCTGTGTATTCTCTGCTGTCTGTGGCTGTTCTTGTTAATATTGCCTGAATGGTAGCATCACAATAGACCCGTGTACAGTTCAAAGGAACTTGCTTTGGCTTCTCTTGTATGTCTCTGGATAAAATAAAAGCACCCAGACACATCCTGGGTGTTACACTGATATAGCATATTTACTTACACACCCTACCACATGCATACCTTTCCCCAAAATACAGCCCTCCAAAATTGGGGTGTGTTGTAAGCAGGAAAGCTGGGGTTTTTTGATGGAATTGAAGTATGGAGGAATAGAAATATGAAGACACTACCATTCATGGCTGACACCAGCTTCCTGGAGGGAGATGATGGAGATGACCCTTCAGGGTCACAGCTACAGTGTTATCCCTCTTGCAACCACAGCAATCAGCATCTTGCAGTCAGCATTCAGCCATAACTGGAAAAATCTCTTTTCATTCTGCCTTCCCATAACGAGGTATGTGTCTTATTTGGGGACGTGACATGCGAGAAAATACGGTATAACTATGATCAGCTGTAAGAAAATAAGGGACTAATTTGGAACAAAAATTCCAGAAGAAATCTATTCAAAGCTTTACACTTCTTCGCCAGTTAGATTAAGCCTACAAGCAAAATAAAATCATAAAGTTGGATTGTCGATGGCAAGTTTGATCTACTCTGAGCAAGAACAAATCATTTTGAAATAAAGACTGGCAGACATGACCAAGTAATCAAGACTCATACAGAATTAATAAGCATAAGTGCAATGCTTGAACTGGATCTTTAAACATCAAAGAGCTTACTTTTTAAAAAATGTCTACAGAACCAAAGTAAATTGCTTGAGCAATACACCTTCCACATCCTGGTGTATCCTGAAAAAAAACCAAAACAAAAATACAATACTGCTTCTTGAACAAGAAAAAGACACTGGGATAGCAACTCTGAAAATGATAGGACTGCAGTTGTCTGAATGATAAGCTTTATAAATAAAACCCAAGTACTGGATGTGCTAAGATTAAAAAACATTCTTTAAGAATATTTTAATATCCTTATACCAAAATATTTTCCTCCATACACATCAAGCTGTCTCTAGGAAGCCTTTCTTAGAAGGAAAATGTAAGGCAGCAGGCATAGATCTTAGAAACACTTTGCAAAAAGAATCAAGAGAATATTTTCACTCCTCAGTCCACATACAAAAACTAAGTTGTGAAGCATATGAAAACAGAAGGGCCGCTCCTGAGGTTTTAATAGTTAAAAACAGCTGATTTTTTTGTGCAGGTTGTGAGTTACAGTATTTTTTCTGGCAAAATCACCTCTACTGAGACAGGTTAAGTGTGTATTGATCTTTCAAGAGCATTCCTAGATAAACCCCTAGTGAATACAAACTGGGTCAATTTCTTCATGCAGAAGCAACAAAATTGACAGAGTAGAGCTATTGACATAAAGTCTCTACTTTCCTTCATAGGTGGTTACACAGCAACTCTGTTAACATTTGGTTAGCCACCATTTTTTCAGTTGGATAAGGTTTTCAAAGAGCGTAGGTGAATTAGCAGCTCAGATTTCACTTTTTTCAGTAATGAAATGAGGTACTTAGAAATCTAAGTCATCTAAAAGATTAACGAAGAAAAAAACCTAACCAAACAAAAAACCCATTGCTTAAAATGTGCTGATCAATAATAAGTGCATTACAAAAGTTTATCCCAGCTTGTTATAGATGTATAGATGTATTTTAAAGTTACCTATGAAGTAACACAGGTCAAATATTGCTTGTTTTACTTATATGGTTACTTCCAACAAAGTCTGCAGTACTATTCAAATGAGCATGGACTAACCAAGTAAGTCAGACAAGCTTAACATTTCTAGGTTTAACTTAATTTATTTGGAAAGCATTTCGGCATACACCGAGTATTTTAATAACAAAAAACTCTATGAATATCAGCTAGCATCAACAGTCAACTTAGGGGGAGGATCCAAAGGGAGTGCAGTGGCATGGACACATCCCTTTCAATCAATGGGGATGTAAAGGAGCAGCCAGGGACATTTTTTTTACACCCCCAAATTGTGTAAGAATGTGCCCTCGCCCTCTCCCCACATGCTCAATGGCACCTCTCCCCCTCCAGAAAGTAACCTTTTCTGGGCAAAAGTGTCAGTTACTTTGGGAAAGTCTGGCATACTTTCAGGAATATAGAAGCATATTTTCTCAAACATGAGAGGACCCCTAATAATTAGATTCTATATGCAGAACTTTTATAAATGTATTAAATTTTTCCAGGCATATAATCTAAATCTTGAAGATTTGCATTCAATTAGTCCCCCTCCCATGATTACGGCACTGAAAATAAATCCCGGGGCTCAGACAGTCCACTTGCCATTTACACATTTTACCTGCTTTTGCAATGCATATTTTCAAAATAACATAGAATCCAGTGGTTTAAGCAAGAAACACGATACACTAGAGCACAACATTATACTGATTATTTTGTGATAGACATGCAATAGTGATTTTTTTTTGTAAAAACATATGTCTATATATATAAGGTTATATATATCTACACTCTTCATATCACACTACAAAAGAAAACCTTCACCCATTACAAAAAAACTGCACCCGCGCACCCGTACAAAGGCCTGCTGGCCATCTGAACCTGTTACAATATCCACACCATAAGTGACACACACAAATCAAACAAGCACATTCTGTTCCCTCAGACCAGGCAACACCTCCCTTCCTTCCCCACCCATTGTGGGGTCACATACTCAGTTCAAACGTCCTCTCCGTCATCGTCATCACTCCAGCTCCCGCTGGAGGACCTGCTGCTGCTGTCGCTGTTGCTATCCTTGTTTCTGCTTGTCCCTTCCTCTTCTTCGCTTCCACCACCCGCCTTCCTGCTTGAGGGACGTTGGATGATCCTGCCACATGGCTCTATGCCAGGTAGCTTTGGCTACGTCCTCTCCATCCTCCACTACCGATTTCTGGTAATAGGTCCGGAGTTCGCTCAGAACCATTTTCATGCAGCCCACTACCTCTACGTCCATTTGCCTGTACAACAGGAGGTTCCTGGCCTTCCACAGGGCGGTCCAAACTGTGAAAGACCAGAAGATACTCACCCAACGTGGCCTATCAATTGTGAGCCCAGGAATAATGTGAATGAAGTCTCCATGCTATGGCAGGAGCTGCTGGGGCACACCAGATTCACTTTAACACCTCACCAGGTGAAGCAGATGGGTGGGTCTCAGTGGCAGGAGCAATATCCCGGGCCGAGCCGAGGTCCAGAGTGGGGAGAGCGAAGGGAAGACAGTGGATAGAGTGGAGGAGGTCCACACCCCAACAGGCCACGGGGACGAATACGAGGCCAGTAGGCTTTTTGGGAACTCAGAGGAATCCTCAGACAAGGGAGAAGTGAAGGAAATGGGAACCCTCTACTTTGACTACAAGGTTCTTTTTCATTTGAACATTTAATTAAATGCTGCCGCCATCTAATCAAGCGATTGTGTGGCAAATAAAGTGGAAACGACGGGAGGCGTGGGTGTTTCTTTTTCCCCAACCCGGTCTCCCCTTTTTTTTCTTCTTCGCATTGGGAGTGGATGTGATCTCCGCCAGCAGCCTAGTACCCCGGAAAGACCAGGAATCAATTAAGAAGAGGAAAAAAGGGGTGGATGCTCCCTTCCAAGGAGCCCTACTCTGATTAACCACCTCCAGTCAGAAATTAAGCTGGGCGTGTTGGCAATCTGAGCAATGGGCAGAGCCGTCTCTAATGTTCAAGCGAAGATGGGCCGAGCAAAGGAAGTTGCCCTTACCCCGTAAACAAAAGAAAACGAAAAAAAGGATCCAGCAGGTCCAAATAAATTTTCT